TTAATTTTACTATTTTTATTTGTTACATAGTGAAATCTAATAAATTCATGAGTTATTAATATGATAATGATGAAAAAAACTGGTTTATAGAAAGTAAAACGTAATAATTTATGATTTTGAATTTGAATACAAGTTTCATTTGGTCACAATATACAACATTTCAAAAAATAACTATTACACAGTGCTGTGGAGCTGTAGGACAGTGGTTGCTGACCCCATGTCATATAGTTGGTAGCAAAGGCAAATAAAAAGAGAGAAGAGATATTTTCTCTCATCTCCCATCTTCCTTACTGGAAAAATGGCCCATAATTGTGGCCTGGTACTTTAAAAGATTTGCAAACATTTTAACACCAAAATAAAAAACTGAACTTACACCCCTCCTGAAATAGTATACAGAACTAACCATTTATTTACTTATATTATAAATTAAAACTTTAAATGCTACCCTTATTCTTCCTAATCATAATTTATTAAGTTATTAAATTATTCATTATAATAKTATTTTTGATATTTCTATTTTGAAAATAGGTAACAAAAAATTTGCTTACCAGTATTGTATTCTTAGTTATTGCATTTTCCATCTTTTTTAAATTTACTGTAAAAGTATCAGGATGTAAACTTATGTGTATAATTTTAATACCAAAGTAAGCAGCAGCTTTGTCAAAAGCAGGGTGTGCAGATCGYGGAACAATTATTTCACCCTTTTTAATACCAAATTCATTTCTTCCAAAATCTCTATAAGCCTTACATGCCATAACAATTGATTCCGTCCCACCACTTGTCATCTTAAAGAATAAAAATAAATAAATAATTGTAATTATATATAATCTCTATTTTGTTTTTATCGTTTAACGTACTGTTCCACAACTATTTGAATCTCCATGGAATAGATTTAAAACTAAACGTACAACTTCTGCTTCCATCTTACAAATTCCTGGAAATATATCTGAGTGTAAAGGATTTGTATATGAAGCAAGTCCATATACTTCAGTGAGCAATTTGATTAATTCTTCATCATAATAATATATAGCACCAGAAATAAACCCTTCTTTCCAATTGTATTTACCTAAAACAGATAAACTTTGGAAATAATTTATTCTAATTTAGTAAAAAAAAAAAAGTATATTTCTTACCAAGATTTAAATACCTATTTACAGTTTCAATTAATTCATGTTGAGAAATTCCTTGTGATGGGAGTTCAACCACATATTTTTCACTCTTAGTATTTTCAATTACTTCATTTTCAAATAGGTCTGAAATTTTTTTTGTTTCTTCTTCGACTTGTTTTTTGAATTTTGGTATTTTTTTAATTTGAGTAAATGTAAATGTTTTTAATCTGTTGTATAAACCTAAAAATAGCCAAAAGTTTGTAATGGTTAATTGAATTTAAAAGCAAATATRTGCAGATTTTATTAAAATATTTATAGTATTTATATAATTTTTGTGTCATTGATTATTTTATTACTTAATGCACAAATACTTAGTATGTCCTAGATTTA